ATAATAATAATAATAAATAATTTAAAAATATATTTATTAATTTGATTAAAATCTATTTATTACAATGGACGATGATGATGTACCACAATTATCAGCAGAAACATTCAATATTTTACAACAGTTTTATGCAGAGCAGGCTGCTAGGAAGATATTATATCTAAACAAAACGATGAAAAAATTGAGTTTCATGAAAATTGGGTAATTTTGGAAATACATATTAATATTTTGATATTTGATACACTAAATATAGCTCTTGGAAGTCTTTGGAAGGTTTACAATTTATTCACCAGGATGACTATAAAAGACAAAACTAATGTACAATGCATTTAGCGAATATGCCAATTGTAAAGTATATTTTGTTCAATTTATTACAGCAAAAGCATCATTCTAAAAGTACATTTTATGCTAATATCTAATCTCGACTTAACACATTTGTGGACATGAATGCTTAGCATTCATTTTCTTATAACATGAAAGCTATAGCGTTTAAAGTCGAATATTTTGAATTTAGTTTCATCTAACCTCGGGCTTATGTAATATTATAATACCCAAGGGTACTATCTAACTGATTATGCAGGTATTTTCTTATAACTTATCTTTTACCTGTAGTCACTAATAAGCTTGGGTATGTTTATGTTATTGCATAAAATAGAAGCGCAATACTTGATGTGGATGCTATAGAATTTATCTAGTATAAAACAATTAAAATGTTGATAATCTGACTTTATAAACGGTGTTTAATCAATTTTTCGGTGTTACAACTAATTTAAAAATAAAATCACTGTCAATTTTTTCAATTGGTTGAAACTTTTACTCTGCGAACATGTTACACTGCTTGCTATCATTTATTATAGCAACTTTATCATACATCACATACTGTAATATATTTTTAGAATTTTTATCGGAATTATATTTAAGCAAAAATTTAAGCTTCAGAAAACAGCATTACATATAATTTTTAACTTTTCCAATAAATACTTCTTCAGCAGCATTTTTCCAAAATAATATTCTAACAATCTATGTATTTTTCTACTGATCTTTTATCAAAAACAATTTGGAACTTTTAAAGATGTCTTCCAGTTCGTCTATCTACGACACCAGAAAAACTTATATTGACACACTCTATTAATATAATCGAGGGGCTAGGTAATTAATTTATGATTAAACTTTAACTTACTTGGCAACAAAAAATATATACTTCAGTTAGTATTATTATTTTTGATAATGCAAAAATTTGATCAAGATAATAAATAAAAAGGATAAATAAAATAAATATATTTAATATAATGATCAAAATTCCTTAAATACACCTATAATTTTAAATTTTAGCAATTAAGCCAGTTTTGGTACGACGATAACACAATACAGAGTTTAGTTAACATCATAATAAACTCAGTAGATGAAGGAGCACATGTCGCTCTAATATCATGTCCTTCATTATATAAACACTTAAAAGAAAATTGTACACAAAAGAATATCAAAGGTACATTACCCAACCACAAATACATCCATTAAATAAAATAAATTATAACAATATTTCCTTTACCTTTTAGTAAAATTATTGGAATATGATAAACGATTTGCTGTGCATGAAGACTTTGTGTTCTATGATTACAATGAACCTTTAAATCTGCCTAAAGAGCTAGAAAAATATTTCGACTTGGTAATAATGGATCCACCGTTCTTAGCAGAAGAGTGTTTAACTAAAGCGTCTAAAACTGCAAAACATTTATCGAAACACAAATTATCTTATGCAGCAACGAGTGCTACGAGAGGAGTTGGCGAATAAAGAACTGGGGTTAAAAGAACTGGTTTTGTACCGCATCATAAGAATAATTTGGGAAATGAATTTTGTTGTTACAGTAATTATGAGTTGCCTAATAAATTTTAATATAGAGAAATTGATACAGGGGTTTTATTTTTTGTCAGAAATTTGAATTTAAATATTCTGATTGACTGTTTATGAAATTATATTGAAGAAAATATAAATTCAAATACATTTGGAAAATGATTTAGCTAATATTCAAATTTTATTCAATTTGTTAGTGCTGGTACCTAAATGTTCTGGCTAGTCTGAATATATTCAGTCGAGTTAAAATATGTTCTAGATAGTCTGGAAACGTTTTGGCTAGTCAAAAAATGTCTAGATAGTCTGAAAATGCTTTGGCTAGTCTATAAATGTTGTTGATAGTTTGAAAATGTCCTGGCTACTTGAAAATATTTTGGCTAGTGTGAAAATATTTTGGCTAGTTTTAAAATGTTCTGGATAGTTAGAAAATGTTATGGCTAGTAGGCAAATGTTTTGGCTAGTCTGAAAATGCTTTGGATAATCTGAGAATATTCTGATAAGTTAAAAATGTCCTAGATAGTCTGAAATGCTGTTGGCTAATAAGAAAATAATGTTCTGGCTAGTCTGAATTTTTTTTGGCTAGTTAGAAAATGTTCTGGCTGGTAGGAAAATATTCTGGCTAGTCTAAAAATATTTTGGCTAGTTTGAAAATGCTCTGTCTAATCTGAAAATGTTCTAGCCAGTCTGAGAATGTCCTCGTTAGTTTAAAAATGTCCTAGATGGTCTGAAATGCTTTTGGCTAGTAAGAAAATGTTCTGACTAGTAGAAAAATGTTGTGGTTAGTAGGAAAATATTTTGGGTGTTCTGAACATGCTTTGGCTAGTTAGAAATTGTTCTGTCTAGTTAGTAAATGCTGCGGCTATTTAGAAAATGTCCTGGCTAGTAAAACAAAATACGTGTTGGTTTGAAGATGCTTTTGGCTAGTAGGAAAATGTTCTGGATAGCCTGAAAATATTTGGGTAGCCTCTAAATGCTTTGGCTAGCAAACAAATGTTCTGGCTAGTGGGGAAAATGTACTGGTTGGTCTGAAAAATTTTAGCTTGTTTGAAAATGTTCTGGCTTATAGGCAAATGTTAGCCAGAACATTAGAAAAATGTACTGGCTAGTCTAATAATGTTCTAGATAATCTGAAATATTTTGGCTAGTCTAAAAATTCTCTGGCAAATCTGAAATGTTGTGGCTAATAGAAAATTGTTCTAGCTAGTACTAAAAAATATTTGGCTAGTCTGAGAATGCTCTGGCTTATCTGAAAATATTCTATTATCTGAGAATATTCTGGTTAGTCTAAAAATTTCTTAGATAAACTGAGAAGATTTGGCTAATTAGAAAATGTTCAGACTAGTAAAAAAATGTTCCGGCTAGTAGAAACATGTTGTGGCTAGTCTAAAAATGTTCGGGATAGTCTGAGAATATTCTGGTTAGTCTAAAAATGTCCTGGATGGTCTGAAATGTCTCAGCTAGTTAGAAAATGTTTGGGCTAGTTAGACAGCAGGTCTCTGCATAATGCTGATTAGATAATATTATTATTTAAATAATACTTCACACAAACATTATTACCTTACCAAATGAGAAAAATAAAAATACACATAAAATTCCATTAATTATAATTGAAGATAGTTGATATTTCAACATTAACCATTTCTGAACATCTGCATTTCTAAATTAAAGTCATTTTTATTTCTTCTCCTCCCTAATTAATAATACGTATACTTCTTATGAAACTTGCAGAACTTCCTATACTGCCAATTGCTATGCACGCCCTTGTCAGTCTTCATACAAGTGCATTCAACTTCCACACTTCCCTTATCTTCTTCCACGTCTTTTAAGGGCTCCAATTTTTCCACCTCCAATCTGGTTTGTTCCTTGTTCTGGTTTGAAGCAGTGCGAACTGCTCTGGGGGCTGCTTTTACGTTATGCGAGGCACTTTCAAGGGGGCGCCGGAATAAAACATCGCAAACCTCATCAGAATCGTTGGTAGAGGCTACTTTGGTGGTAGGTTGATCACTGGCTGGACGTTTTACTTCAGAAACACTTCGAGCAGTGGTTGGACCTAGTTCTCTGCTAGATTTGTGGTGAATTTTAGGTTTGATTTCTAGGCCCGCAGGAAGACGTTCTGATGGTTTGTTATTCGCGTTTAAGACTTCGCGAATATGTAATTTTTGGTCGTCATCTTCATCTTTTCCACGAGTCCTGAAAGAGAAATATGTTTAAATTAACTAACTAGCACTTGGGTAATAAAATATTTTTGAACAAGTACCTCTTTGATTTATCTTCATCAGGTTTTTCCTTACTGGATCTATAGATAACTCTAGGTTTTTCAGCAACCATCTCATTTTCCTTCAAATTTTTGGTTGACCTAGGGACTGGTTTCAAGTCATGATCACGCGGTAAAATCACTTTATCCTCCGAGGTAGATTTAGCTCTAAATAAGGTCCTTCGTTTTGTATCTATATCCAAAGAGCGTTTAGGTGAAGACACTTTTCTGCAATTAAAAAATGGAATAAACAAACTAATTATACCAGATTATTGGGGGTAATTCTGCCTCATAGCATAGCTTTGTCATGGCAACGCTATCTTATGCTCATTTCTTGCTAGTCTATCTATTATCTGTGCGATCAGGCGTATTTTTCATATAAACTAGCAAGGAAGAATGTTATAATAACAGAATCTTCGATGACGCAGTTATCATAAGATTCTTCCTTGCTTGTTTGTATGTAAAATACGCCTGATCACATAGCTAATTGATGAACATTTTCACGGTTTTCACTACCAATAAACAAGCATGAGAAAACGTGTCAATGACAATGTCATGCTATGAGGTGGAATTTCCCCATATATTTTATAAGTTTATTTATTACACCAACCTGTGTTCTTCAAGAGAACTTCCACTAATTGCCAAGTGTAGTTTACCTTTGCTCATCCCACGATTTTTAGAAAGTTTTGCAACAACCTTATCTTTAGCTGTTTTGTAAATTGTTTTCTTAGATTCTCGCATTTTCGGAACATCGTCAGTGGATTCTGTTGTCGATGGAAGATTTTGATGTTTTCTTAAAAGCACCTTTTCGCTTAGGCGTGGCTGTTCTGCTCGTGTCAGTACTTGAATACTCCCCTGATTCTTTTGGAGACATTGTAGTAGGTTGCGAGCTCAACTGACTTGATGTGCAAGCAATTTCTGTTAATTTTCTTTCCTTGTCCTCAATTTCAGACTTTGAAGGCTCAGTGGATGAAATCGGTTTTAGACATACGATACACGATGGCGATTTATTAGGGTTCATCTCGCCGCTTGATTGGGTCTTTGGCGCCGAAATTTTAACATCCATGTCATCTTTACATTTTGATCTTTCGTTAACCACTTGCTGTATCTTTCTACCCGCATTGCTAGCAGACGTTTTTCTGGCCACAGGATTTTCTTGAATCGTAAGATGTTTCTTTTCAGTTATTCTCCGTGGTGAGGCTGTTTTGGCCACCGTTCGATCTTGAATAATCATTTGAGTTGCTATGATTTGCTCCGAGCATCGAGAAGTATCATTGTCATTGGACAAGATTCCGCTAAATTTTGGACACAATGAGGGTCTGTCAGAGTACATTGATTCAGATAATGAACTCGTATCAAAAGGAGATTTCTCTCTATAATAATCAGAATCTGTTTTACTTATGGTGTCCGTCTCTTGTTGGTAGTTGTTCATCCCGCCTCCGCACTTTCTCTGGGTATTTGGTTGCGGCAATTGAGGTGAAGCCGGTGCACTGTCGTATACATTTTCAGGCGGTGCATTATATTGACCAATGGTTCGGGGGTTTGGTACAGGACCACGATTACCTTGATTGTAGTGCATTGGCGGATATTGACCACCACTCGGGTTCCGAGGATCTTGGTCACGCATTGTATTTGCTGGAGGAAATGATGTATTTGGTGGCCCAGATTTTGGATTCGCCGTAGTGTTGTACTGATTGTTTACAATATGACCTCGATGATCAGGAGGCGATCCTGGAAAATTTGATGCCGCGTTGTGATGTCCGGGACCCGGTCCACTAGGAAAAGGCGCTTTGGATGAGGAATCACGCACACTCGGACTGAACTTTACATTATATGGATCCATGCCGCTGCGGGGTCCTGAATTTGGTGGCATTAATGCTCTGGGTGTAGTTTGCGTTGAGAAAATACTTTTTTGGTCGTCTTGAGTTGAACCGCCACCACCAGCTAGTGGGGCAGGGCTAGCACCGCCTGAATCGCACGGTGCATTGGATTCCGATATATTTTCATCCGCTTGTTCAGGGCAAGGTCCACCGCGGTTGGGGCCAGAAGGCCCTCCGACTCCTAGACCGCATGGTTTTGAATCGCATGGAGCTTCTGCATTTGGACCATGTGGGCTTTCTTCTCCTGCACAAGGTCCTTTTGAATTGCACGACTCTCCAGGATGGGACTGTCCTTGTGGCCCAGGATCAGCTGACTTTTGACAACCAGGAGATTGTTGCCCAGGATTACAAGGACTCTGACCACCGCCAGCAATATCATGCGCTCCTACATTGCCAGGACCTGGACGACCACCAAAAGGACCCGCGGGTCCTGGCCTATAAGGACCTCCGTGAGGACCACCGTGAGGACCCGCATGATCAGGACCCGGCCCGTGGGGTCCTCCGTGAGGACCACCAGGAGTACCACTATGAGGGCCTGGCCCGTGTGGTGCCGGACCACCACCGCAAGCACCCGGACCTCCGGGACCTGGTCCGTGGGGTCTTGGAGCCCCACCACAGGCACCTGCACCTCCAGGTGCAGGCCCGTGAGATGCTGGACCACTACCGCAGGCACCTGCACCTCCAGGACCAGGTCCGTGAGATGGTGGACCACCTCCGCAAGCACCCGGGCCACCTGGACCTGGTCCGTGTGGTCCTGGACTGCTACCACAGCCACCTGCACCTCCAGGAGCTGGCCCGTGGGGTCCTGGGCCACCGCCAGGCCCGTGGGGTCCTGGGCCACCGCCAGGCCCGTGGGGTCCTGGGCCACTTCCGCAAGGACCAGGTCCTCCAGGTCCGGGCCCATGCGGCGCAGGACCTCCGCCACTTGGACCTCCACAACTAGGCCCCGCGGGCATAGAGCTCTTTTTTGCTGATACCGGTATTATGGGATATGTGGCTCCGGGACCATGGGCGGGTGTAAAAGGACCGCCAGGAATCATTGGTTTTGAAGCACAGCAAGTTGCGGGGCCATCGCCTTGTGTGCACGGTGCTCCTCCGGCACCACAGCATGATCCATGGGTGCAACCTGGGCCGCAAGGGCCTATGGTACTACAGGAAGATGCCGATTGCATTGACGCGCATTGCCGAAATCTGTGGTAGTCTATACATTTAATCAGCCTCTTTTTCAACCTCTGTAATATAAGAAAACAAATTTTGTATAGACTAGAAATATTTATTATCTTATATATAAAAATGGAGCTCTCGATCAAATGATTCGGTAAAACTCGAAAACGGCTAAAGCAATTCGGCCAGTCTAAGTCTTGAAAAATTTGTGCCAATCAAGAGATGGTCGGAAAGGTGAGATAATATTTCAAAATCGCGTAGAATCTTTACATTTTTAATTTGAAATTTTTTGTAGAAGCGTAATTTAAATAAAACAATGGACGATGGCTAACGTGTCAAATGTCAAACGGTTTGACAGATGATGTGCAATTACGTTTAATAGGAAGTTTTACATGAATATTATTTAATTATGATTAAATTGTAGTAAGTAGTTTTGTTTGTAGCTTTATTTATACATAAAAACGTTATTAAACTGGCCGAAAGTTTTACTAGAAACTCAAAATACCAACTTTTTTGAAATGTTAATATGAAAATGCATTTTTTGGCGTTGTAGCACTTTTTCTTTGCAAATCATATTTTTCTCAAAGACGGTGCTCTGAAATATCTCATTTGTATAATTATATACTCATTGGTATTTATAAAAGATTTCCTAAGTTATATTATTCTTTAAAATTTTAAACCTAAATTTAAAATTCAGAACCTAAATTTGGTATCGATCAAAGGAACGTTTTGTCAAATAACATTTTTCCAGTTATAATTTACCAGAATATATCGAAAAATAGATGGTAATATGTGAAGGTCCGGGGTTAAAAAGGTCCACCACCTATGTGTCGACAACCAGTAAAGTTAAGCATTATTTAATAACAATATTTGAAAGCAGAGGGAGAAAGATGTACAACCAGCTATAACCTTGATTTATATGACTTTGCTATCGGGACATAAACGGTAATTTTTGAAAATCCATAATAAAAGTATTTTCTTCCGTTGGTAGTTTTTTAGCATTAGTTAAAAATGTAATTATTTTGTATAATACCTTTAAAATTAAAATAAGACATTAAACCTGTTTGCCACCTGTCCGTTCAAAGTTACTCCGTCTATGGGGTAAAAAGGCCTAGGTAACAAATTTTTGAAAGACATCAAAATGCACATTTCTACAATGGTGAAGTAGTTGGCAGTTTTATTGAACGTAGTCAGATAATTGTTTGTTTGAAATGTGTTATTTGTTGTGATATAATTGGTTTGGTTTTCACAATATAGTTTATATTTGCTCGAAGTCAAATTGGACCTTTGTGCCTCGCCCTGCTCTACATGTATACTTTTTATTAAATTTACTTCAATTCATCGAATGTTTTTGAAACTTTTCAAAAAGCAGGCTAAAGAAGAAATACTTAATTCATATTCAAATCACTCCTCGCAGAAATTTGAAATTTATAAGCTCAGTAGTATTATTTACAATTATACACAAAATCCAGAATCCAAAAGAATCTGAAAGACTTGAAACGTAATCAATAAGTCGAAAGACCAAAAAAGACTTGGATTGGATTATACTATGTTTTCTTTAGAAAGTGTATGAAATTTCCAGTTTGATTGCATTGACAAAATATAGATAAACTAATGGGGTTTATAATACCTCATTGTATATAGCATTCAAACAACACATTCTTATGCACTAAAAGTATTAATATTTTTGATTCTCTAGAAATTGTTTAGAATATACCTTACTTAGCAAAACAACGTTTGCCGGGTCAGCTAGTATTTATTATAAATTTATAAATTTAATTTACCGTTCCCTTCGACTCCTTTGGGCAACAGGAACATTCTGTATTCTTCGAACACGAGCTTTTGCAATAACTCGAGTTACATGGCTGAGGAGCCACTCGGCAATGATTTTTCGGAAGTTGGACAAACAATAACACATCCTATGAAATGGAAATTGAAATTTAGATACATTGTCACAATATGTAAAGAATAAATAAAAATTAAATTCTTACAATGCACAAGAGAATGATAAACCCGCAAACGTAGGCATTGTACAATTCTGTGGTCGCCGATTCACAATCTCCCACAAACTCGGGAACTTCAGTAGTAGTCTGATCTACAGTATCTTTGGAAAATTATAAAGATATGTTTAATTCAAAGTAAATTGTAAATGTCGAAAAAAAATTTATTTTAGCTTCTTTTTTATTAAAAATAATAAACTCTTACCAGGCTTTGGTGATTCTGCTGCTCCTGGTTCTTCAGAACTTGGAGGAAGAACTGTGAAATTTCTGCAAATCAGGTCTATATATGGCTGCAACCACACTAGGAAAATAATATTCCAACATATTTATAAATAAACCATATTTAGTATAATGAAAAATCACACAAAATGTAATATATGGTTCTAAAGTTGAAGTGCTGGAAACTTCTGCATTGCTTGTTTAAAAACAATAGTGATTGTCTAGTCTGGTGAATTACCAAGATCTTTTAAAATCAATTTATACTTTTTTAAGTCACCTGGTCAGCAATTAAGAAAAACATAATATTATTTATCAATTTATTTAAATGTTAGTAACTTACTTAATATCGGTTGTTCCTTGCAAACGCTCACATCAATTGCAGCTATTGAAACAAAAAGAAATGCCATCGTTACGGCGAAGAAGGATTTTGTTACATGAGTACATGCCATGATCTTAAAAAAATATTAACAAATTATCAAAATAATAAACAATTTATCAAAAGTAATGAATGATGTTTCAAACCTTTTAATATTAACAGATTCTTATAGATTGTGTGTTGAATATTAGCTAATGTGAATATTTTATGGTAGCATTTGAATAGGCAATAAAAAAACACTTCACTGTTCTTGATCTTCAAAAATTAATTTTTTGTGAGATTTTTTAATAATCGTTCCAAAAAATTTATTATTAAAATTACTTGTATATTTAAAATGTGTGTCATCAGTAAGCAAAAAAAAATTTCAAAGGTAATAAGAGTACTACTAGGAAAATGGTTGAAGGAAAACCAAGAATTCAAGAATTTTGATAGCTATCTAGAAGGTATAAGAAAGAACTAATAATTTTTATGAAGCTGCAAATGTTCTAAGATAAATATTTTTTCTTTATAAATTATGTTCAGATCATTAGTGCCAAAAGTGATTATAAATAAATAAACGTGTTCAGAGAGCATGGTTTTAAATTGTTCAGAGTTGTTAAAATTATAAACACGTTTATTGATTTTTTGGAGGTATATTGCAATTATTAGTAACATTTCTCATTTAAGGCATGTTTTTGGACCAAATGACCCTGGTTCAAATGTTTTAAGTTTAAAGATTCTCACAGTTTTTCTATTCTTAATAAATATAAAAGTTTCTCTTTTTTATCAATTCTATGAAGTTTTCAAACCTTTTCACACAAAATATTTTTACAGTTTGTCTTAGTTGGTGTTTTTTGCGTGTTGGATTAAGTGGTTAAGTTTGTTGTAAAAATTATGTTTTTATAATATTTCATTCAAATTACTAATATTTTAGTACTTACAACAATATGCAATCCCCTATCGCAAGTACCTCCGACTGATATTGATTTAATTGTATAAATTGTATGAATTATCAATACAATCAGACCAATTATACTAATGGCCACTAAAGCTGATTTCATGTGCATTCCACTGAAATATAGAACATACAAATTAAAAATCACATTTCCCGGGTAGAATGGTAATTCTGTATTAGGGATCTATCTTCGTATGAGTTGGTAGTAACAAAATGTTAAAAGATTATGTATTTGCTGTGCGATCAGGCGTTTTATTAACAAAACCTAAATTTACGTATGTGTTATCAATGAGACATCAGAAAGATGCACTTATGATAAAATTGTTGTTTGACGTTTGTGCCTTTTGGAGGTTAGGATTTATGTGTAAAACGCCAGATAGCACAGCAAATACATAGGTTTTTGACAGTTTGTTTTTACCAGCTCACACAAAGATATAGTATAAAAAATGTCTTCGAAAAAAGGCTAGGCATAAAATTTAGTGACATTCAAATTATAAACAATGTAAACTTATCAAAAATTTATTTTTCAAAATAAGCAAGTAATATGTTGTGTATAAGTACTATTTATAAAAAATGATCCAAAATGGTGTAAATATAGAATATTTCAATGAAAAATTCTGGCCTTAACTTACTAAACATATTAGTTGAGTTATAAAGGATTGCGTGCATACAAATATCGAAAATTTAATTTTTTTATTATTTATTATTACTATTAGTTCAAATCAATCTTACTCTTCGTCCATCTCCGATATTGGGTCAATAGGAATACAATCTCGAAAAAATCGAAAATTGTCTGCCGAAAAAATGACTCCTCGATAGTAGTAAATCAGGCATATCATTAGAACTATCAAATTTAGGAAGGAAATTATCATGGAGATGGCATAAATAGTATCTGGAAAATAGTAAAAAATAATTGTTATTTTCAATTTATTTGGTAGTATGTATTTGATACTTATTATATAATAATATTACTATTTTTATTATAACTAATAGTTAAACAAAAATGAGTATGAAAACATAAATTTAGTAGTGAAAATCGTGTTGTTGATTTTTGTTAAGGTCTAAAAACGTCTAAAAACGCCTTTCTTCTAAATAAATGCTATTTTTCTGAAAATCCTCATTCTATTTAAAAAAAAACTGTTTATTTAGAAGATACCAGTTAGCTACATTACTATATAAAATATACAATAAATCAAATTAAGATGTAAATGATTTGCGTAGACAAAATTTCCACAAAAAACATGTATCATAAACTTTTTTTGGTTCACTTTGATATTTGAGTTTAAAATTTTATTTATTACTTAAATATAAATAATATTTTTGATTTTATTGCAAAACTCGTATTTTTACTCGTACAAACTTTTTATTAGATTTTTTTATAATATTTTTTAAATTCAATTGTATAATAAATAGTTTAAAGTACTTACAGCTGCATGTTTGAAGCATCATCGTTGTAACTTGTATTTCTTAATTATATTCTAAAAAATAAAAATGACTTATTCGTGAAATGCGTTGTGATATTCATTAGAAAAAACAAATCTAATTAGGCAATTGTTTTTAATGCCAATGAAACAATAAATTGCCAAGGTAACTTGGTTCAATAAATATTAATACTATGATTAATAAATATATTAAAAAATATAGTAATACATATTTTAAAATTTTTATATTGTGTTCAATTTAATGCTTCTTCACCAAATCGAGGCTAATTATTTAATTTCTTTTATTTTTTAAAATTCTCTCAGTAAGATCATTTATTATTTATTCCTTGCATTGGGTTTGCATCTAACTGCAGATCTTACTCTAAGATGTTCTTAGTTAAATTTTTAGGTTTGCTGACGTAGTCTAAATGAAAAACACATTTTGTTAATGGATAATAAGCAATTTGTCAATCAAAAAATTGTTTGGATCAAATGGAATGGCTTTTAGATCATTTTTGTCATATTTTGGGTTTTTATTTCTGCAAAGGTAATAAGCCAGTAGTCACCTTAAGCTCACAAAGAGTTGTGAGTTGTTTATGGTGAGGAAGTCTTGAAAAAACGGCTATGACAAACTAAGTTTACCAAATTTCGTTCTGATGATTTTTCATTCAAAGATCAAAAATGTTCTGGTCGTCCAGTTGAAGTTGATTACAAAAAAAATATTTCTACTCTAATCTGTTATCATCAACATAATGATCAATGTTGATGTCAACATTGAACAACAAAAGTGGCCTTAATTTAAGAATCAAAACAGCAAATCATTCTACTAATATTTGGAAATTTGGATAAAATTATTGAAGCTTGTTAGGATGATCTAATTACTTTATATAAAACTACTTGAATGGTAAACAATTCAATATTTATCATGATGTCAAATTGTACAGATTCAGTTTTTTGCTAATAAAAACCTCAAATTTTATAAAAGTTTGATGCTCCTTGACGTTTGAAAAATGACAAAAAGTCATTGATCAAAATAGACAATATATCACAGAATAAAGTTGTTACTTCCAGAAAAAAGTATCTTTGATATAATTAAATAAAAGAGTGCGCGTAAGGTTCTCACGCGATTGAAGTAAAACTTATTTGCTACTGTACAAGATGGCATTTAAGTAAAAATAAATTCATCGTATAACAATTTTGAATGATGTTTATTAGTAATATGGTAACACTCGTGATGCATACATTCATTAGTGTAAACCATTATACACATGTATATAATGATAAAATATAAATTATATATTTATAATAGCATTAAAATTATAAATAATATTTAAAAACAATAATGTAATTAAAGTCATACTTCAAATATGACATGGTCGGTTTGTCATTGTAATTAGCATTTAGAAATGAACCTTTATTAGAGAAATGAAGTAATTGCTGATTAAAAAATTCTTTAGTATATGTTCACACAGTGGATTATGTTAAACAACGCCTAAACAAATATTGTTTTTGCAACTTCACTCATCATGTAATAATTGTGTTTGAAAATGTAATTGAAATTAACATACATTCATTGACTGCCTGTATTTTTTTTTACTTTTTCACTGACGATATAATCTCATTCTTTGAACAACAGTAATATATGTCTTGCCTAAAAATATTTTCTATTTTGATAACTTTAAAGATTTATAGAAACTACGAATAATATAGAAATAATTTCTAATCAATTAACTTACGTTTATTACACGGCCCAAATGTTTAATTTGTTTTATTATTTTCAAGAAACAGGGTAAAATATTCTTCTGATTCAGGCATTTTTCATTAAATCAAGATTTGTACTGCGATGTAACTTTGAAGTGTTTATTTATCTATGCCGATTTCCTTGTTGATAACGGTATGCATAAAACGTTGATGCCGGTACGCATACAACGACAGATCTCTATTCACATACATACATAGAAATGATCTCATCGAGAGCGAATGACGAACAGTTCGGGCGTAACGGACTTCCGTTGCATTTGTACGGATTTACACCCTAGTGGCGCCTACAGAACTTCAAAAATTTCTTCATATAATCGAGGCTAATCATATTATTTCTTTTTATATTTTTCTATTTTATTCTATATTTATTCTTTTTATTCTTTCATTTTTTATAATTATCTCAGAATAGATCATTTGTTATTTGCTTCTGGTTAGTTGAATTTTTAGGGTTGCTGACGTAGTCCAAATGTAAAACATATTTTGTTAATGGATAGACATGCAATTTAGATGTTCATAAAAATAAAGTTTTTTTATTCGATAACGTAGTTTTTATTTGGCTTTTGTTGGAAGATGGTAAATGAAATCGAAAATTTTTGTCAAAGGCACTTTTATTTTTGCAAATGTGAAAAGGCATCTTAATTAAAAAAAAATCGCCAAAGTGATTTTTAAAAATAATCAAACTCAAAGATGTCTGTCATTTTAATTAAAGTCATTAATATAACAAATTTACGATATTACTGGTATAAATTCAGTATCACAATTCCAACAAATATTCAATAATACGTATACTTCTTATGAAATTTGCAGAACTTCCTATACTGCCAATTGCTATGCACGCCCTTATCAGTCTTCATACAAGTGCACTCAGTATCAGAATTAGGCACATCTTCCTCAACATCTTTCAAAGGTTCCAATTTATCCAACCTGGTCTGATCTTTGTTCTGGTTCGGAGCAGTACGAATCGCCCTGGTTGCCCCTTTTGAACCATGGTTGGAACCATCTAAGGAACGCCTATATAAAATATCACAAAACTCATCACTGTCTTTGGCTAATGTTGATGGTGGTCTATCACTTGCTGGTCGTCTAACTTCTCCTGTACTTCTTGTTGGTGCTTTTATTTCTTTACTTGATTTTTGGACTATTTTTGGTTTTATTTCCAAACCGCCAGGAAGACGTTCTGAAGGTTCGTTGTTTGTGGTGAGGACTTCTCGAACTTTTTGGGCGTCTTCTACGTTCTTGGACATTCTGATGGAAGTTAAAAACTTTTAATCTGTATTTTGAATATGTATTATAATTTACTAGTTTTTTACCTCTTTCTAGATTTATCCTGTTGATCAACATTGTCCCTGCTAGTTCTGTAAATGAGTCTGGGTCTTTCAGACGAGTCATAATCCTTCAAATTTTTACTTGAACGATAACCACGACTCAAGTCTCTATCCGAACTTGTTCTGGATCGATAAACAGTTCTTGGCTTTGTTTCCATATCCAACGACTGCTTTGATGACACCATTTTTCTGCATTATAAAATGCAGAAATTGTAAAACAAGTTGCAAACAGAGGGACTGATTCTGTTAAAAATGTTATGGCGAGGCCAACCTCTCGTAAGCTAGCAAGACCAAATTAGCAAAATCGATCCGGATTTGTGGTATTATTTAGTACTTATTTTGTACTAATTTGTACCACAAAAAAATTATAATAACAAAACTGGTACAAAATCTGAAATTCTCTATTTAACTACTAGATATTATAATGTCTTCACTATATTAGTTTCATTTGATTCTGCTCGTTCAATTTTTTTTTTCTATACTTTGAACTTGTACGTTGAAAATGATTCAGCATAGACGTAAGTACAATTTGGGGATGATTGGAAATGTAAGGGCAGGGGTATAAAATCTGAAATTAATTAATGTAAAACTAAATATTATATTGCTCATAATGTGTTGATATAATTTGATAGTTTTAGTTTAATTTAATTTTTTCCGTACTAAATATCTTAACATTATTTTAGGGATTTTTTGGAGCAAAACGGTGGTAGTATTTTGTATCAAAATCAGTGATTTTATAATACTATTATAATTATTTTGTTATCATTATTTTGTTCTTTTTTTGATTTCAATACAGGCTTTTTTCTGCACTATATACCTATCTTCACAAAATATCTCATATTAGGGCGGTCCGGCCGTCATGGGGTACTGATTTTAGTAGCCATTTTCGTTTTTTTTTTTGGTTTAATTTTGGTGGTACAAATTAGTACAAATTCGAATTAATCAATTTTCGTTTAATTTTCTTTATTTTCTTCTAAAACAAAAAGTGGTCTTTGCTAGCTTAATATTAAAGCTAGCAGCGGCACGTATTTTTTTTAAACGTACTAAATAATACCACAGGTCCGGATCGATTTTGCTAATTTGGTCTTGCTAGCTTAAGAGAGGTGCGAGGCCATGTTATGAAGAACTTTTCGTACTAATACGTTCTAAATATTGACAAAAGTCATGCAGTCAGTCGTATTTCTCAGACTCAGATAGCAAATCTTACTTAGAAACCGCTTAAAAAAGTTCATAACATACGAGTGACGTTGCAGTTTATGTGTAAAACCTGAATGTACATCAAATACATATGACATTTTGACAGTATTTAGTATGATTCAGTAGCATAATGTATGAAAGTTAGAACGTAACATGGCCTTGCCATAACATTTTTTTGTTATGCCGCAGAATCGGTTCCACAATCTAAAATCTACTACTAACCTGTGTTCTTCTATAGAACTTGCACTAGCAGCCATGTGCATCTTAGATCTATTCGAAGCACGATTTTGTGGTGGATTTTTAGACGTCTTGTTAAGTGCTTGTTTTTGCCTGGTGTTTTCAAGCAATTTTGGAACTTCTTCAGATGATTCTGCAGTCGATGGATAATTTGTTATGGATTTCATAATATTTCGCCTCGTTGGTGTAGCAACAACGCTTGCATCAGTACTTAAGCTTTCCCTGGATTCCTTGGGTGATATTGTAATGGGTTGCCAAATTATCGGGTTTGACTTGTAGGTTTCAGGTTTGGCTACAGTTATAGATTTTCTTTCCTCGACCATTAATCCCGATTTACGTGTATCGGGTTTAGATATCGGTTTCTGGCACACAAGGCACGAGGGGTTCTATGTGGGTTTTTGTCAACTGGCTGCGTGTTTTCAATGTCTTTGCTCGCAGATGCGGTTTTTGCTAGAGGAGATTCTTGTATTGTCAAGTGTTTTCTTTCCACCAACTTACGAGGTGATGCAGTTTTAGCAATGGAGCCATCTTTGCTTTGCATGACTTGTGTTATATGTTCTGGATATTGCGGAGTGTTTGGCCCAGATATGATAGTACTAAACTTAGGACTCAAAGAGCCTCTCTCAGAAAATGTTGATTCAGACAGAGAAGTCATGCTGTAGGGCGACTTGTCCTTGTAGTATTCAGAATCAGATTTGCTCATAGATTCCGTATCAGGCTGGTAGTTCATTGCTCCACCACTTTTTCTTTGTTGTGCAGTATGCAAATGAGCAGTTGGTGGGTATGTCGGTTCATTCACAAAGTGTGAATTTTTAGTTTGATGCCCATTGTTGGGACCAAATGTTCTGCTTTGTGGTGATTCATTAGATAAACCAGGGTTGTTGAAAGTTGGTTTTTCTTTTGGAACTTGTCCAGGTAAATTGTATGGAGCCATAGCGTGTTGTCTTTCCTGATTGATTGGATTTCGATGTATTGATGGACGTTGATTGAAGTCGACAGGTGGCTTTGGCTCTGGAGGTGGACTGTAACTTTGATACCTCTGAACTTGATCCGGTATGTAGTTGCGTGTTGGAATGCATTTTGTGGTGATTGTTGTGCATAAGGCCCAGGGTTTGGCATTCTAGGACTATTAGATAAACTGTATGGATTCATTGGTACGCCACTGCTATCCGTCGGGCTTGCTACAGGATCATATACAGGTATGTAAGAATTTTCTCTTTGTTCAGGGCCACTTGGGTATGCTGTGTTTGATATAGACTCACGGGCGTTTGGGTTAACATTCATGTTATAGGGATCAGCGTTATATCGTCCGAAATTTGGATCTAGAATGTTTCTAGGTCTCTGCACGGGGGCAGGCGCTTCTATGCTTTGCGTGTCTTGACCTGGTCCACCACCACCAGCTAAAGGTGCTGGACCACATGGTGGACGACTAGTTCTGGGCATGCAGCCTTTGGGCCACCACCTGCACCGCACGGTTTGTTATGACCAGCTAGTCCTCGTCGAGGACTATGAAAACCCCCAGGGCCGTAACCTCCGTGTGTACCATGTTCAGGAACACATGGCCCAGAACCCATACCAGGGCCAATTGGACCATGATTTGGAGTTGGACTACACGGCCCAGGACCACCTGCGGCGGGACCAGGTCCTACTGGAAACGGACCACTAGGGGCATGTTGGGGTTTGTCCATGAAGGATACTTTTGGTTGTGGTTCTGAACCACCGCATGTAGCTGAACCTCCACATGTACCAGAACCTCCGTGATCAAGACTACCATGAGCAGAACCTTTATGTCCAAGACTACCATGAGCAGAACCTTTATGTCCAAGACCTCCATGACCAGGACCACCATGACCAGGACCTCCATGGCCAGGACCTCCAGGACCTCCAGGACCTCCACATGACCCCGGCCCTCCACCACATGAGTCAGGCCCACCACCGCCACTTGGCTTACATGGTCCTCCACCACCGCTACATGAACCACCACCACAACCACCACCACAACCTCCACCACAACCACCACCACATGGACCAATAGTGCTGCACGAAGAATTTGTTGCGCAATTCGAAGCACATTGTCGAAACCGATGATAATCGATGCACTTGATTAGCCTCTTTTTCAACTTCTGCAATTGATAATGGATTTAGGGAAAAAATTCGTTATGGAATTTTGTTTTTGTTATTACCAGGCCTTTGTAAGGTACATCTTTGGGGCAGCATGTGCATTCAGTATTTTTGGAACAGGAACTTTTGCAATAACCAGATCCACCACGATTGTCATCGCAGAGATGAGGTGCTATACGGCAACGGGTAGTTGGCAATTGGACAAACAGAATGACGTTCTGAAAATAATTTATTCAAAATCGAAAGTGCAAACTATTAACTTAAGGGTAGTTATAGTAATGGGCCGAAAATCAAAAATGAAAATTTTTGCATTTTTCGACGTTTTGAAGGTTTATGAACATTTTACTGGCATACCTCAGAAAAAATGGATGTGTGTACGTGTGTGTGTGTTTGTTTTGTATGTCCGCATTTTTTCGTTCACGTTTTCGGGCGCATGGATTAACCGATTTGACTGGTTTAAAAAACATTCGATCCCCATTGATAGGGAAATGTGCTGATTAGTTTTTGGCAAAACAGGTCTAGCCGTTACGGAGATACGGAGCAAAGAGTGCAGAAAATACAAATCGAGTTTTTGACAGAACTGAGTATCCGATTTGAATGATCTAAAAAACATTCAATTTGTAATGATTAGGAGAAGAGGTTGTTAGTTTTTGGCAAAGACTGTAATATGTAGATTAGAATAGTTAAAGCCTATGATTTATTAACCTTGTGAGAGTTTTATTTAAGCCATTTCAAAGATACAGAGCTAAATGTGCAAAAAATGGCAGTTTTTAAGTGAACTACGCGTACGATTTGAATGATCTAAAAAACTTTCAACTGACAAAACAATCGCTTTTAATGATAATAACTAGCTGTAAGTGGAATTCTGTCTTAAGGCAATTAAGGCATCGTGCCTTAAGGCAAATTGCTGGAACTTCCCGTACTAAATATTATTAATTTTTTAAAAACGATTAACGTTTTTGAAAAAAATGTACTTTGAAAAAATAATATTTTTGAGAAACTATATATATGGACCAAAAATTACTTTTTTTTGAAAAAAAAATTTTTTTAAAAAAAATAATTTTTTTTAAATTTTTTTTTTTTTGAAAAAAATTTTTTTTTCTTTATTTTGACATATTGTGGAAGATCTGAACTTTTTTTCAAAGCAATCGTACTGATTTAACTGCATAGGGACAAAATATAAAGCACGTAAGCGCCGCGTCGCTGTCTAACGCATAAGCATTGGTACGGAACCCATAGGAATGTTAACAAAATGTATACTTATTGTTAAAATCTCTATAAAATATCTGATAATTTGATGTGCATATGTCTAATGATCATTTTTGACCGCCAAATGGCTCATTTTTTTACTTTTTCCTCCATATCTCCGAAACCGCTAGACCTACCTTTATGAAAATTTGATCGATTCTTCATCTTGTCAATACAAGTGAAATGTTTTTTGAATTATTTAAATCGGACGCTCCGTTCTCTTAAAAACTGAGTTACCGTTTTCGGCACTTTTTGCCCCGTATCTTCGGAACGGCTAGACCTGCCTTCGCCAAAAACTAATCAGCACGTCTCCTTATCAATACGAATCGAATGTTTTTTGAATTATTCAAATCGGTTGATCCGTGTTCCCGAAATCGTCGACGAAAATTTGTATCCGCACATACATACACACACGTACATACATACACACACACATACACACACACATACACACACACATACACACACACATACACACACACACACACACCCACACATACATCCATTTTTTCTAAGGTATGCCAAAATGTTCAGAAACCTCTGAAACGTAAAGATATATAAAAATTTTCATTTTCGATTTTTTTGCGATTACTATAACTTGCCCTACGGGAAGTTAAAAATATTACATCTTTTTTCCATAAAATATTTTTGTAATTTTGGATTTTAAAAAATTCAAAAAATTACCCAGGCTAAGCTCAGTCTAAGCGCCACTCTGGTACAAATGTTTACCCAAGCGCGTTTAGACTGTTTATGTATTGGAGAACTTTTCCAATTATTTTGAAAATGTAAAAATGCTGCTAAGCTGAGTACAGTATAAG